ATGGCCTATTTTCAAGCTTAAGTGTGAGAAAAGTGCATTTTTGGACTTAGTTTTCAAACCGGGAGTCCCGTTCTAGTTCCGTAAGTTTACACAAGTCACAATGGTTGCTTCCGAGGTGTTTTAGGTGTTCCCTAGGCTGTCTCATGGCTATTATACGATTTTGGCCCCATATGGCCTATTTTCAAGCTTAAGTGTGAGAAAAGTGCATTTTTTGACTTAGTTTTCAAACCGAGAGTGTCGTGCGAGTTCTGTGAGTTTCTACAACTTATATTGGTCCTTCCTGAGGTGTTTGAGGTGTTTCCTAGGCCTTCTCGTGACAGTTACACTATTTTAGCCCTCGATGGCCTATTTTTAAGCTTAAGTGTGAGAAAAATATATTTTTAGACTTAGTTTTCAAACCGGGAGAAGTAACTCATAACCATGTTGACAGAGAATGAAAAAGCAACTCCAAAAATCAAAATCAACTCCATCGAAAATTCATCAATAATAGATAATGAAAAATTAACTTCAAAAATCAAAAACAACAACACTGAGTTCGTCTCTCTCACATTGATCAAAACTAAAAACAAAAACCTAATTCAACACCTACATGATCAAATCAAATCAAAAATTGAAAACTTATCTAATTCAACTCCACATGAAATCAAATCAAACACAATGAACCAGATTTCAACTCCTACACGATCGATCAACATCTACAAATAACGAACATGATTTCAACTCGTCTAGGATTTCAACACCTACAAACAACGAACAGGATTTCAACACCTACAAAAACCCTAGAAAATCTCCACAAAAATCTGAATCGTCAAGTTCATCCTCACGTAATCTCCCACAAAATATCAATATGATCTTTAGCTGCCAAATTCAAAACAACGTATATTATAAACAAGGGTAAGACAGGTATTTTACACTTTAAAATAATATTGAGGGACCTTAAGCTACAAAAGAACACATTGTGGACCTAATCCATTACTAAAAGTTAAATAGGGACCTTAAACCGATTTTCCCTAAATGCAAGTGTGTAACTATCGTAGAAAATAAGTAAAAAATGCTATAGATAACTACCCTTACCCTTATAAATGAAATTCACCATAAGAATTGACATCCACTTTTTTAAAACTACAAAAATTTAATTTTTTTTGAATAAAATTTTAACTATATAGGGTATTTTACTAATTTATAATATTTATATGCTTATATTTTATTTTTGTAATCTTTTCAGGAACTAAATAGGTTTTGATTTATATACTTTAGCGACTTAGTAGATTCAATCGATAGTTCATGAATTAAGTAGACATTTTAGTAATAATTTAGAAGTATAAAATGTAATAAACCCTTAAAAAAATGACAAATGATATGTACTAAAACCATTGATGACGTAAATACAGAAATAAAGCTTTCTTAGCCAAATAACTAAAAGAAAAATGCTATATGTACTAATTAGTATACACACTAGTATACCAATAGATGATGTGACATAATTTTAGAGGTTTTAAGTATTTGTAATTTGCATAATAAATAAGGTCATTAATGATATTATAGCACTAGTTAGTATACTAATATATACACAAATTGATGCATGTAATACCACCGAAACTAAAATACCATCATCAGTAAGAGTTACACCATATTTATCATCTAACACAGCTGTTATCATATCTGGGATATTCATGGGTCGGTTCGGTTTGTTTTGGTGCTAAATAGAATCAGTGCAATGATGATTGGTTTCAAATTTGTAGATTCAAAACTAAACCAATCATGTATTAAAACCAATCCCCAACATAACTCGGGTTAGTTCAGATTGGAACTAAAGATCCACTATATACTCGGGTTAGTTCAGATTGGAACTAAAGATCCACTATATGAAAAGGAATTGAGTCAATTAATAATAGGTAGTGACTTTCGTCCAGTCTAAGATCGAATTAGATCGTACTGTTGGGTCCGTGGGGGCTTACCACGGATCCCGTTTTGATAATTCGAATCGTTGAATGTGTAGAACTCGTCGAGTACTATATGCCTGTAAAAAATCACGTTCATCAGATATCGATAGCTATGTGAACAAAACAGTTTTTTATCAACCGTTAATTGTTTCACCGTCCATTTTTTTTATTTATATAAAACTGATTTGATCACATAGCTATTGATATCCGATCAACTTGATTTTTTACAGGCATGTAGTACTCGACAAGTTCTACACATTCAACGGTTCAGATTATCAAAACGAACCCAAAAAATAGACCCCATGGGTCGAACTGGACGGGTCAGTCTTGATCTCAACTTGAGACAAGCTGGACCCTTAATAATAAATAAGTTTTTAACATTTAAACATCCACAAAGAGCAAATTTTTTTTTAAATGCAAATCAAATCAAATTGAAACTTAAACATAATCAATACAAATTAAATAAATTACATAAATTACGAAATCTAACTTAAACTTCTAGTACTTCTTTGTTCACAATAATGTTTGTATAATGAAAATTATTAAATGCAATCAAATTCATTGTAATAGACCAATTAAGTGAAGACAAGATAATATAAATAAATTTTTAATATATACATACATAGGTTCAATTCGGTTTAGGTATGGTCTAAATAAAAAATCAATCCAGTTCTATCGATTTGATAATTTAAAAATACAAAACCAAACCAATACATTCAAAAATTAAACCAACTCAACTCAAAGAAGTTCATTTGTTTCGCTTCTTTGATTTATTGGTAGTTTAAACACCTCTAATCGTGTCCAAGAGTTCTAAGCCTTCAAAGGGCGCACCACTTCCACAAATCACAATTTTTCTGTTTGGTTCCAATTTTTTAACACAATTTTTTTTGCAAATTGAGTGTTTCAATTATTATTGTTATTTTTTTTTGTTGTGTTTTTAGTAATTTTTTAAAATATTTTAATCAAATTTAACGTAAATGTACCTAAAAAGTAAAATAGTTATAAAAACATATTTTAAAAATTAATAAATACACAAGATATTTTGTATTTTAGGTATTTAGTGATTTTTTTTTTTTAAATTTCACAAATATTGTACTTTTTAAATGTATTTATGTTAGACGTATTTAAAAAAATTAAAAAATTAAAAAATTTGTTTAAATATTACACTGTTCTGTAACAAAAAATAAATTACACTGTTAGTCTCTCTAGTTTGAGTAAAATTTTCATTGAGCTTGCGGTTTCAATTTAAACAAATTTTGTTATAATGTAGTGCTTCCATCACTTACTATTAAAAGAAAAAGAAAAATCACATATAAAACTAAAGAGACAAAAGTAAAAATAAATTAATTAATTAAATAAAATAAAATTATAAACTATCGGTATAATAAATAAAGGGCAAATTTCACTTTACTGCTATGTGGTTTGAACTATGTGCAGTTTACCTTCCTAACGCTTGGAAATGAATACATAACCGCCACGTGATTTGTGATACACCATTAAACATTCCATTTAACTTAACAGCAAATGTAAAACACGTGACAAACATAAAAGGGTTGTACGCTCATTTTTAAATTTTAAAAGAGATAAATTGCACATGAAATGAAGTTACAGTACACTTTGCCTTTCAAACAAATGACAAAAATATTCGTAATTCATACACTTAATTTAGTTATATACAAGGGTATTTTACTTTTTATTAAATCATTAACCGGCCTAATAGTGTACTTTGTTCCACAAACCATTTGAGAATTATGTGATTATTTTAAAATATTAGGGAGATAAACCACACATTACTCAAACCATAAAGAATAAAGTGAAATTTGCCCATAAATAAATTATACTTGTAGTCTCTATAATTTCTTTTTAATTCCACTTTGGTCATGATTTTTTCTATTCAAAAATTAACTGCATATGATGAAGTGACAACATTGCAACAAAACTAAAAATAAGGCGAATTACACTAACAATCCTTATAATTTGAGGTTCGTGTCACTTTGATCCATGATTTTTCAATTGTGACACATTTGACTTTGAATTTTGAATGTTATTTCAAATAAGGACAATTCAAGATACCTTTGCTCAATTTCAATAGCAAAGTCGTCAATTTGATAAAATATAAACTAATTTGACAAAAATAAATGTCAAAAAAAATATTTTTGATTTTTTAAAAATTATATCTACCCACAAAAAATAAAATTATGTAAAATTAATAAGTCTTTTACGCATTTATTTATTTTACCAAATTAATTTTTATTATGTGTTTAGATGATGATCATATAATGTGTGCTTGTTAAAATTTTAACGTGTAATCAATATATTTAATATATAAAATGTTTTTAATTTTGAATTTTTTAATTTAATTGATTAATTTAAAATGATATCAAAATTGTAGCTATATTTGAGTTTTGAAAAAACATAAACTAATTTAATGAAAATAAAAACAACCAGCCATTACATGATCATCGTCCAAACACATAATAAAAATTAATTTAATAAAATAAATAAATAAATAAATAAATGTGTAAAAGATTTATTAATTTTACATAATTTTATCTTTGGTGAGTATAAATAATTTTTAAAATTTCAAAACTATTTTTTTTGACATTTATTTTTATCAAATTGACACTTTTATCCTTAAAATTGAATAGTGATATCTTCAATTATCCTTATTTGAAATAAGATTCAAAATTTAAAATCAAATATATCACAATTGAAAAGTCAGAGATCAAAATAACACAAGTCTCAAATTATAGAAACCGTTAGTGTAATTTACCTTCAAAAATAATGTTCAAATGGTTTCAAATTGAAACATGGTTTCAAATTGAAACTACGGAGAAGTGACATCTTGCTTAAATTACAAGAGTAATAGTGTAATTTACCCTTATTATCAACGAAAAATAATAAATAACTAAAAGGGAAAAATAATAGAAAGATATGGAATTTAAATCCAGAACTGCACATAGATAATAATAGGATGAGTCATAGAAGCATTTCAGTACTGCACATGATCAAGTTGTTTTAATAGATTTCTAACAATACAGACTCACTACTTGTTCCATGCAGCCCATTGCTTCATAATAATTGAAAATAAAAAACTAAAAAAAAAATCCATAGAGCATGAAGATCAAGCTAAGTAGTCTTCCATTGTGCCACTCTTAGCATCATATCATCTGCAATTGAACCAATTAACTGCACAAAAATAAAATAAAATAATTGTGAAACAATGTCAACATAAACATCTTTCAAATTTGAAACATTAAAAATACAACATAAGGAAATTACATATATTACCCACATTATCAATGTTTTTATTTGTAAAACTAAAACCGTGCCATCTCGAATCAACTTTCAACTCGAATTCAGTTTTCTGTACCAAAAGTCAATTTACAGAGGAAAATCTTGACAAGATGTCTATATCTATTAATGTCTTTCTATCACATGAACTAACGAGATTCACAACCCATTGCTATAAATAATCAATCACAAAGTCAAGTTACTATTCCTATTATTATTACTAATTTTTTTAAAAAAAAATGTTTTGATTACATTTTAAGTGAACTCATCTCAATAGAGCCTAAATCTGAAGTACTTGGCTTTAGCACACAAGTCCTTTTGCACTACTTCTCATAGAGATAACAAGATTCTAAGCATAAAAATCCAGCAAGCAACCGCTACAACTATACATCTATATCACCTTAATGGGATGGACATCAAAAGACTGAACTACTTCATGCTAAAAGTAAAGAAAACCAAAGCATTCAACAAGCACCCAATGGTTTTTCCATAAAGCAGCCTTGACTGTAACCAGGGGCTATTTCTTTGTGCAGCGATGAAAACTCAGTCCATTGACCATTATTGTGTATTCAAAGGATGAGTGCAATAACTTTGGCAGAATAACCATTGAGGGTGTGCTTTATTTTATTATGCCAAAGATTACGCACATATCCAATCTATCTTTAAAAAAAAAACTCAATTTTGGGGGTCAACACTGGGGAATGGCCTTTTACCTAGACTATGAAACCCTTAGAAAGACGAAGCAATTGAACAAACCATAGCTGGAAAATTAGCCTCAACTCAAACTGAGATCCACTGGGCTGAGGTTATCTATTTGGATCCTGGGATGTTACGTTATTATAGAACCTATTCTTCTTTGGCACAACCTCCATATTTAAGGCTTTGATAGCCAATACCTATGCTCTCTGACTACAGTTGTTCCCCGTTCACAATTGACAAAAGCCACACATCCGCCCTTATACAAGTCTCCTGCTGCTACTGCATTGAACCTCCATTTTAAAACACCTAGGTTATGTTTGGTTACATTTTCAAATCAATTTTTGAAGTGAAAATTCCAAAAAACTTGCTTGGTTTACAAATTTTGAAAATTTGTTTTCGAAATTGTTCAGTCTCCTCTCTCCTTCTCTCACATCCTATACGTCAATCAATCAATCAATCTCTCTCTCTCTCTCTCTCACACACACACACTCTACACATCACTCAATCAATTTTTCTCTCACCCATCTATTCAACTACACAAAAAACTATAGATCTCCAAAAACTATTTTCAAAATATACAGCCAAACAAGTTTTTAAATTTTGCAAACTCTTCAAAAAAACCTACCTTTCAAAATTAATTTTTAAAACTTAACCAAACAGAGCCCTACTCTCTTCTACTATGTCTCCCCTCCACTCTTTGAGAGCCAACCCCTAAGCTAGTGAGGGTCACCTTCTCTCTCTCTCTCTCTCTCTCTCTCTCTCTCTCTCCTTTCTGCAAACGAACTCCCCATTGACCTAGCTGACTCCTCTACAAAAACTCTCCTTTCCTCTTCTCTTCTCAACCAACTCAGACCCCACCACTTTCGACACCTATGCCCTCCACAACAGGCCCCCATATCCATCATAAAACCTTTATCCATTCTGGCAAGCCCTCGTGATTTCAACAGAACTCAGCTTCCAAGGGTACAACACTAAAAACTGAACCAGTTCCATAACCAAGCTCTAGAAAGAAAGAGAGCCCGATAAAGATCCACCGAAAGTGAAGGAAAAACAACCACGCGGAACAAACGAAGAAAATCAAAGAGGACACGAGAAAAACCGAAGATAAAACAGAGGATCATGTGAAATGAAATGAACCATAAGAAAATGGCAGCAGTTGAGAAAGAATAAGGGATTTTTGAAAGAGAACGAAGGGGCATGAAACAGCGAAAAATGAAGATTTAAGTCCCTCTAAGCAACCATGACACCACCAAGACAAGACTTCATACTTAATACACAAGTCATCTCACAAGAAAAAACACAATGGCATTTTTGCAGAACATGACACCGCATGGCAATCATATCACGTGGGGCATAGTTATTATTTTTATTTTTTAGATGGGAAAATGAGAGTCTCATTGGAGACAGTCCACTGCACAACTAATAAAAGGGATGTCTACATCAGCACACCCACAGCAGTGACTATAATAGTGAGTTTGGCAAATTCATTGTTGTACCATTCAAGAAATAAACAAGTATCTCAGCATGTCAGCAATAAATGACAAAAGTTAAGTAGCAAACAAGAAGTTAAGAACATTGATGTCATAGGGACATAGATGATGAGCATTTATTTTTATTTTTGGATGGGAAATGAAGTCTTGTTGGACACAAAGTTCATCTACCGCCCAACTAATAAAAGGGATGTCTGCATCAGCACTTATGTTACACGGACTCGGATGCAAGTATTGGATACATGTATGTGTCTAAGCGTCAAATTCGCCTATTCCTAAAAAGTGATGGTACGGGGACTCGGCTAAAAAGTATCCAAATAAAAAGATATGGATACGGGGACACATCACACGAAATATTAATAGGATATTCTATATTGTATACTAACTACATAATCTATGCATCATGATAAATACCCAGATAGTTAAAAATCTAAAAAAATTATATAACTACAAAAATGTTTTAATCTTATTTATTTATAAATAGTCAAAAAAATAGATAATAAATGTTTTAGAAAATAAATATTGATATTTTTATAAAGAATAAATAATATCAATATTATGGCTTCGTTTGGGAAGTTGCTATTTTAGTAGGCTATTTTAGTTTTTGGCTATTTTAGTAGGCTAAAATTTTTATGTTTGGGAAGATGATTGGATTTTTTTGTAGTTGGATGTGATGTTTGTAAGAGAAAAAGTGAAATGATTATAGGTTTGATGTGATATTTTGTCTTATTAGCTATTTTAGCCTATTTTGTCTTTTTGTGAATTTTAGCCTAAACTAGGCTATTTTTTTTCTTGCCAAACACCCCCTATATAACAATATCTAATTTATAATATAATTATATAATAAAAGGCTGATGTCAATTATGCTCCTGCATCACCTGTCTAGAGGAATGGTGAAAGCCAGAGAAAGGACGCATGCAAACCTCCTCAGTGAGATGACCATTAAGAAAAACATTCTGAACATCAATCTGATAAAGATGCCAATAATGAATAACAGCAATAGAGATCAAAGTACGAACAATAATCATTTTGGCAACAGGGGCAAATGTCTTATCATAATCAATACCATATTCTTGTGAGAAACTTTTGGCAATAACATTCACAAAGGGAAGAGGAGACCGATGAAGGATGCCACCACGAATAGCCTTATTCTGAGGGGAGAGAACCGTTAAGAACTACACTAAATGACCCTGCTCCCGAAACTGAATAGCTATTTCCAACTCATATCGCTTGGCAAAGTTGGGTTGCTGATAAACACTCAGTACATAATCCCACACTTCCTTGACAATACTTACTTGGAAAACATCATTCCAATACGGTCATTCACAGAATTATGAAACTAAGTTAGAACTTGGGCATTATCACAATCCCAAGTATCACATGAAGTCAGATATCCTTCATTCTTCGGGTCCATTGGACGAGGAATAGAACCAGAAACATAGCCCCATTTTCTTCTGACCGAGAAGAAAATTCTTCGTAACACTGGCCTAATAAGCATAATTGGCACCAGTGAGTTTGCTTCTGATAGATTAGATTTTGGTGTCCCACATTACAATAAAACAAAGTGATAGAATTTTGGGGTCAAAATATAATAACTAAGAACTGGAGAACCAAACTGAAATATACCACTATCTCAATACTCAGAACACATAAGGGAGAGAGCCAGGCTTCAGACGAGAGAGAGAGAGAGAGAGAGGGAGGGAGTAGACTTCGCATGAAGCACGTGAGAAGCAGATGCAGCCGACCAGAGTTCTCTTCGACTTAGATGGGTTACGACAAGGGTTTCTTTGGGTTGGAGATACAAACCAGATGAAAGATGACTCGTGGCCTTCGATCAAACTAGATGAACACAAAGGAAAAGGGAGTCACGACTTGCAACTTAGAGGGATAACACTAGAGGACTGATTTCTGAAAGACAATCACGGTGAAGAAGAGCACCTATGATCACGACTCAGTGAGATTCTGATGAAGAAGACAACACAGAGACAACTTCTAGTGTTTTGGCTCAGAGACGGCTCTGATACCATGTAAGAATTCTGAAGAATTTGTATATTCAATTGAATTATTCACAAAATACACAATTATTTATATAGCCCTAAGACAAAGATTAAAAGAAGGAATAGAATCCCTATACAATCAAAGGGATATCAAACATGCTTAATATAAAATATACAGAATATATACTAATATACAGAATATATACGAATATATTCCCACAACTACCTCATTCCACACAAGCGGATTTTTCAAGCTTAACGAATCTGCACGAGCAGATTTGCCAACATATTTACCCAATTTAATCCTTAACGCTCGTTTTGATGCACCGGACCTCATTATACTCTTTTGAGACCTAAAATAGGATTGATTAAGGCTTAGAAACTGACTTAACGTAAGAGTAGTTAAGAAAGAAAATCGAAGTTAAGCTGGAAAATCGAAGTTAAGTTGACACATTCATTTTGCATTTCTCTTTATAGATGTTTGTATGCTTGTTTGTGTAAGTTGAGCACATTGGAGGAGAAACCCTTGTTCAAGAGCCATTTGTGAGAAGTAATTTAGTAATGCTATATTTGATAAACTAGGTTTCAAATGCAAAACCTATTTATGTTTATGAAAGCTACGCTATGATTCGTTATGAATATCTTATATTTTTGTATCATGTATTGAGATGTCATCCTTAGAGTACGATCTTACCAAAGGTTAAACTGG